AAGAAGGCGCATCGACTGTTTTGTAATTCCATAAGTTCTTGAAATTAAACTGTATTCGCATAAATATATTCTGAGAAAATTATGTTAAATGAAAACAGTCAACAAAATTATTCACATTATTATTCGAATAATTTGACAAGCTCTATTCGAATAAATTACACGAATAATTTTACAATCTCTATTCGAATAAATTGTTCGAATAATTCTTTATTGAAGTCGAATAAATTATAAGAGAATTATTCGAATAAAATAGACAGAATAATTTATGACGAATAATGAATTGTTCCAATAAAATATTCAACTAAGAAGTGTTCAGTCGGATAATTCTTAGGCAAATATTTATGCGAAACGATTTTAAAAATGCCCAACTCTGGTCGGAACCATGGTATAATACCGAAAAAGTATAGTTCAGGCAAAATTCTCCACGCATCGAATATCCTATCTTAAGTAGAGGTAGTCGCCTCGATAAAAAAGAAAAAACATCGATTGTAACTCGTAGAATCTATACGGCCGCAGAGGGTTGAAATAGCGAAGCTTTCGATAAAAATGTCCGTGGATAAAAAAAGGAACAATGGCAACCAGAGATCCGAATTTATCATATAAACCGATTTAACCACGCGGCAGCACTCTTTGATCTATTCCAAGCGTCGGGCATTGATTCGTTCTCTCTCGGGCTCGGTCGCGATTTTCCATTAGATCGATTAACCTCGACCTCGCCGCCCGCGCCGGTATCGTTGATCGGTCTAATCAAATTAATGCAATGAAATGCACTCTTCGGAATTGCTACGCCATATCTGAATGTTTGTCAAATGTACGAACACGAAAAACGGATCAGGCGTTGCAGACACATGGATCAGCCGATAAGAGTCTGTCCACTATCGATTCGTACGAATATAAGCACACGATTCGTCGCACGCACATGTACACGCACACGCAACGTACACGCACACGTATCACGTCTCGATACCCACGTACCGTTGAACCAACGACCGACGGATAATGCCGATGATGCCAGCAGGAAACAATGGGACATGGACCATCGGAGAGACACGAAATAATCTGCAAATTCAATTTTTCAGGGACAGAATTGCCTAATTCTCGCCCCCCGTGACTTTGCTTTCTCTCTTGCTTTCGTCTGACGATGAAAAAGGAAAGAAAAGCAGAAGCGAGGGAGAGAACGGCTGGAACGATAGGAACGAATGATATCTCGGCAAAACTAATAAATTTCGACAGATAGTCCCGATTATTGCAGGTGTTGCCGGAGTCAGAAACGCCAGCCGATAACTCGATGGACGATCAAATGGAATTCTCCGTTTTTCTTTCACCTAACTTGCCTCTTTCATTTACGCCATTATCCTCCCCACCGAGCCCCACGACCTCCACGAGATCCATCCCACCCTCCTGCCTCAATTGCGCACTTCCCACCAACAAGTGAATACTTTATTTTCAATTATTAGGAGCCCCGTTTACGATTCCATTAGATGCGTCACGCCGGGCCATGCGGACGTTCATTGAATTAAATATCAGCGCTGTTAGTTCGCAGATTGTTGCCGATGACGCCCAGAAACCTACTTATTGGCCCTATTGTCGCTATTATTACTGTTACCGTCACCGTTATTACAATTGTCATTACTTTTCACAGAGTTTCGTTTCTTTTACACCGTTTCTGTTGTCGACTTTATTTTCATGGGCCGCGGCTTCGATTTCGAGTAAACGCGACTCAGTTTTGTTCGGTGAAAAATAAGAGATCAACGATCTTCGGACACTTATAACATGTCCGATCAACGATGTGATAATTGGTACGATTTCGTACAGTAAGAGACAGATAGTTAAACCGTATTTTCGTTTTTTACAAACGTGATCGAATATCAACGCTAATTGGGAACTAATTGGAAACGAATTTACAATTTACATTCTTATCTCATTATAGAAAACATTAATATTTATACTGTTCACCGGAGAGCGATCTTGTAAGCTAGCCTTTCAAGCAAATGTCTTCACGGTGGTTGAATAATTTCATTAATCGGTTGAAAGAATCTGTTTCCTTAAATGCTTGCCAATTGCAATTACGAATGGCAAAACGCTGAATTCGTAGTGTCATGTTTATCAATGCACAGATCTCACGGTATTCGAGGCAAAGCAAGATTGAAATGATTTTAAGAGCTGAGATCTTAAGAGAAGCTGTACAATAAACTAATTATACATTTTTACAAAATCAATAGTGCGAACAACACGAGCCTGTTATGACTACTGTTAACCAACAGGTTTAATGTTCTCACTAATCATTTCGTCAGAAATCGGATAATTCGAAAATATTCATTTAAAAACTTTCGAACTTCTTTTCTATCATTATAAAAACGACGGAAATGTTTAGGTGTACCTGTTCCATCGTCGTCCTGTTCCGACGTTTCATCTAATCTCAGAGTAAAGTAGCCACAAAAATATTATAGTATAGATCAATATTCTACGCTAATCTTTTGTTTAACCAATTAGCTGCTGCAGGTTCTCTGAAAAATGTGTAAGTTATTGTGATTATATCGTATACGTTTGATTTTCTTTATATTTCGTTTAAATGCAACGCTTTTATAAAAATATATAATTTAATCAAGATTATCAAGATACACATATATCCTTCTTAAGCAGTTAGCTGTTTTCGACGAGTATACTCGCCATGAAGAAATGGCAACATTTTGTGTCATAACGAGTATACTCGTCGAAAACAGCTGACTTGGTTTAATACAACAAGCACTGTGCAAAATTCTGCATGTCCCCATTAGCCTCGTCTCTTACTGTACGTAAGTACATTCTATTCTCGACTAGCATTGGCTTTCCGTGTCCAAGAAGAATGTTTCGTCCATCGTCGAATTCCCGTGCACTACGGGATCGTGAAATTCGGAAAATTCGGAAAACCTGTATTCGCGCGCGTTTACTCGATAAAAGACGCGGCGGTTCGACGGTGCACGCCTCTCCAGTTCCCCGCTCGATGAAAAACGAGATCGTGACCAACGAGAAGCGATCGAATCGCAAGATAGATACGAGTAATTACGTCAGCCCGGTACCGGTGTTCGCGCGAGCAACCCGAGAAGCGTGTTACGTCTATACAGGTGCATATTAATCTACGTGTCGTTTTACCACAAAACGTTCCCCTGTCGTGAATTTTGTGCGCGAATGCGTTCACTTGGGGCGCACGGCGTTACAAACACAATTCTGTGCCGCCATATATATGCATCGTATACTTTACCGTATACATATACGTGGAAATGCCATTACGCGTACATACAATATCTATGTATAAATATATCCCATATGTTCATGTTATTATACTTATTGTACATCTCTTCTTAGTTTAAGAACAAAATCGAAAACAAATGATCGCGACTGTCGTTTCTATGCCTTTAGCTTCAACTGGTCTGTTTTTCTTTTTTTTTGATTTTTATCTTGCCCTCTTCCGCCTGATGACGCTTCTTCATGCTTGCTGACAAAACCTCCGTGCGCTTCGCTACCTGCCAATTAACGCCTGCCGACAAATTACGCCAACCAAATATCCATGCGCTCCGACTACGGAACGTCCAACGAAAAATCAAATGAAAAAAAATTAACCGATGGCCGAATGCAAAACTCGAATGTCAAAAATAAATAACAAAAAAAATCGAAAAAAACCTACAACAAACAAACATAACAAAAAAAAAAACTGTGTGTACAAACAACAACAACCATCATCGCCGACGGCACACATGAAACAATGAACTTGACGACGATCGTGTCGATATAATACACGTACACGCATGCGAACGATGCCCTATTGGCGTGATGTGTCCCCGATAAATATGAACAAATTCCAAATGGACGAACAAAAACCGACCACTAAACAATGCTCTGGATCTAAATCTAAATACGGGGATATTTGGACACGATAAACGTTTGGATCGATCGCATAAAATCTAAAAATAAAACTAAAAAGCAGACGGCGACAATGCCAACGAACGTGGCGGGAATGGGCGCGTTGACTGGCGGAGTATCAGGAGTTCCCGCGACTGCGGTTCCCGGAGGACTTCAGAGCGCCAGTATGGCGAGCATCGAACTCGGCAAGAAGCGGATGCGCGACTCCAATGATGACCTGCTAATGGTACCACGGCTTATGCATGGTGTACACTTTCCTTTTTTTCGTAGCTAGAACTTACGAAAATGGCCCCCCTTGTTTATTAGTCGCCCATTCTATCTTCCAGAAACGAACAGATCAATCGCGTCACGAACACTTCTCGAACGAGACCAAATCTCCGCAACTTTTCATCGCTTTCCGATTCTCACTTTTTCTCACTCCGCTTGGTTCACGATTATTATGTCACACGCGACAATTCGATGCTCTATGACTAAACGAGTTTATGAAAATGTTTATACGAATCGCTTAGTTTACGAAATGTTTCACTTTTACACCTCGGATGACTTAAATACTGGATGCAATGAATTATTTAAAATTGATTTATTTATTATTACGGGTGATAATGAAACAAATAGACCAATATACGGATAATAAAACAACGAAAGTACATCAATTAAGAGAGGTGCGCGCGGTATAGTAAATTTTCGATCGGATTACTCGAAATTGACAACTTCTTCAAGTCTGAGACATAGTTCGTTTCACGAATTTTCGAAATTTATTGTTTCAATCTATGGCGGATTCCTTGCATTTGTACAAATAATTTCTTAACGAACTAAACTCGCATATACTAAAAACTGATGATTTGTTTGTTCGAATCATAGAATGAAATGCTAGAATAGGTATTGTAATCAATTCGATCGTATCGCTTACACACAACAATTCATTAATTTTATGCAAAACTTATTTTC